CACATCCAGGTCTGCATCAGATCGACAGACACCACATTCCTCTGTGCATCTCACTGCCACCAGATGGCCAATAATTTCTCATTATCCCTACCAGAAAGAGTTCATTTGTAGCAGCCTGTTCTCTAAGCTAAAGGAGTCTGGTCCTTTCTCATAGATCCTACCAGTAGCAGCAAGAGGAGTCTGGGGCTTGCATGGCAACTGTAACTCTTTGCCTGAGCTCCACCTTCCTTCAGTCCTTTCAGTCTCTTCTCGGTTGTACCAGCTACTGAGGACCCCTCTTCTTACCATGATTTTACAGTTTGCTCCTGAAATACACTCATTATGCTATACTTGAAACACATAACCGTACATGCATCTCGCATTGTATACCCTGCCACGCCGTCCTAGGGTTAAATGGAACAAGCCATTGAAACTGCACGCACTAGGAACTTGGCACCAGAAGGAGTGATGTTTATAGTTACCAGCTAGAGATACTGTCTCCATGGGTCACATCTCCCTTTTATAAACGGATATGTAGAGGCAGGGAAGTTGGCTCAGCCAGGGAAATGTTTGCTGCACACACACGAGGATCAGAACTCTACCTCTAGTTTGCCCACAGAAAGCCAGGTGTGACAGCGAAAGCTTATCAGCCCAACTGGGGAGGAAATAGGAGGATCTCTGGGCTCACTGGTCACTCAATCCAGGCTAGCTGACACGCTCCAGGTCCCAACGAGAGAAACTGTCTCCAAAAACAAGGTGAATGGACCTGAGGAGCCATACCTGAGATTGTCTTCCGGTTTCTACCTGCACGTCCACTCCTTCCACACACACCCTTTATCAGTGTTACTGAGCTAACACAGGAGTGAATTTACTCAGTTATTTGCCTATAATCTGTCTCCTTCTCTCTAAATGTGAGGACGTGAGAAAGGGTTTATGCCTGCTTTGTTTTTTTTCCCCTCCTAACTTATTTTTCATTCTGTTAGAAACCCTCAAACAGAAGGCAGGCATTAAATAATTAATTCCTGAATGTACGAACAACAAACAGCATAACATTTTTAAATTTGTAAAAACAAGGTCTTGTCATTTAGCCTAGGCTGCCTCAAATTTGGAATCCTCCTGCCCCCACTTCTCAAGTGCTGGGATGACAGGTGTGTACCACCATAACTGTGTTGCTATTACTAAAATTACTTTCCAGCTTCTGTGTCTCACAACACTGAATGTTTTGAGTCAGAATCTCTATACCTTCCACATTTGTTTGTGAACACCAAAGACTGTTCTTCACAGTGCGCAGGGGAGAATTCAATAAATGTGACTTGACTGAATTAATGAAAAAAGAAAAGAAATTCATGGGCCCTCTGCTTTGAATACAATTCAGCATGCGTCTGTACAAAGAAGACTTAGCCCTTGCTGCAGCGAAGAGACACAGATAGACAGGGACCCAGATTTAATGTGACTAGAGCCACAGTGTTGGGAAGGGGGAAGAAAGGAACTAGGGTATTGAAGGAGAGGAGGAGGCAGGACAGCAACCAGAAGAGGGTAGCATTTCAGCTGGGTTTTGATGGACGCATAGGAGATTGGCATGGAGACTTGAGTGAGCCAGGGAAGATCCACTTTGGCTGATGACTGCCCAAAGACCATAGAGACCTGAGTCCTTTCTCACTCTGGGTGCTCGGTAATACAAACAAATCAGAAACTATATTGCTTTTGCTCTCGGAGCCTCTGTAGCTGGCAACTGAGTCACACAAGCACTTGATTACTTGCTTTTTAAGAAGGAGCCACTTTATACACTGTTCCTAAATCCAGCAGCTCTGGCCACAGCAACAAATTAAAACAAACTGGGCAGGTGGTAGCCACCTGCAAGCTGGGAGACTGCCATCCACACAGGGTGTCCTCGAAGCAGTCTAGGAAGTCTTAGAGCTTTCCAGTATCAGAATTGGAGTGAGGAGAGCTAGGTGCGAACGTGAGTAAGAATATTCTGTCAGCGCAGTTAGGTCTCAGCTCAAAAGCCAGAAGGCAAAAGCTGGACCACAGCCACAGCACCTAAGCAGCCTGGAGAAGATGGCTTGAGACCTAGGGAGTTAGAGCCTTCCTGACCAGGAGACTGAGTCTCATGACACAAGCTAGTGGTCATTTTATTTCTGATACCTATGGTTCACGGTGGATGGAAGAGAATTCCCTTCTCGGAGTCCCTCATTTTTCAAAGATGCCAAGGATATATGCCTTCCATTCATTCCCCTGCGACTTGCCCAGTGGTGTAGGCAGCATGCAGGAGAAACTGCATTCACACACCACGTACTCTCACATTTCTGCTCTGGCTGCACATGAATTTGTATGGATCTCACCCAGCTCGTTTCCCACAGTTTCCGCATTTCACGGCCCCACCTATCCTCACTATCATACGATCAGTGACTGTTGGCTGGCCCATCTATCCCGTTCTTGAGTCTCTATGGCCTCTAAAGATCGGTCAGAGCTTATTCACAATTTGGGGACAAGAGTCGCACTGGTGACAGTTCCCATGGCTTCTGTCTGCCGCATCCTTCTGTTGAGGATCCCATTCTTCTAAGTCTCTTGCTCGTTTCCCTTCCCTCATCTTATGCAACATCCTCTCTGCTGGCTCTTTGTTTCCTTCCTCTGAGTAACTTGGAAAATGAAACAGCAGTGACATATCAATTTTGATATGACAATGTAATTATGCAAGGACTTGAAACGCCATGGAGTGCCTCCAAGGCCACCGGGAACTCCCCACAGTGTTCTGCTGTCTCTAGACTGATGGGTTTTAGGCTGAATCTTCTCAACTGGGAAGATTCCCTAGTTGTTACCTGAAGCAGAAGCCACTGGAAATGGTGTAGGCTGTGTGATACTAATCTCCCTTTCTTATGGAAGTTTACACGGTGTTCCCCCTCCCCTCCTTCCCTTCCTCTGCTCTTTTCCCTCCTTTCTTCCTTCCTCCCTCTCTCCCTCTTTCCTTCCTTCCTTTTCCCCTCCCCTTCCTTCCTTCCTTCCTTCCTTCCTCTTCTCCCTCCCTCCTTCCTTCCCTCCTTTTCCCTCCCTCTCTCCCTCCCTCCTTCCCTCCTTTCTTCCTTCCTCTCTCCCTCTTTCCTTCCTTTTTTTCCCCTTCCTCCCTCCTTCCTTCACTCTTTTCTCCCCTCCCTCCCTTCCTCTCTCCCTCCTTCCTTCCCTCCTTTCTATTCTCCCTCCCTCTTTCCTTCCCTCTTCTCTTCCCTCCCTCTCTCCCTCCCTCCTTCCCTCCTTTCTTTCTTCCTCTCTCCCTCTTTCCTTCCTTTCTTTTCCCCTCCCTCCCTCTTTCACTCTTTTCTCCCCTCCCTCCCTTCCTTTCTCCCTCCTTCCTATTCTCCCTCCTTCCTTCCTTCCCTCCTCTCTTCCCTCCCTCCCTCCCTCCCTTCTCCTTTACCTCCCTTCCCTATCCCCTGTCACCTCTTTCACTTCTTCCTCTATTTTTGTTTGTTTGTGTGTTTTTGTGTTTTTGCACGATCTTTCTATACATCCCAGACTGGCCTCAAACTTGATTTCTTCCCGCCTCCCCACCCTCCAGTGCTGGAAGTTCAAGAACATGCCACCATGCCTAGTACACACGCTGCTCTCACAAAGAAAAGCCTTCAAAGTTTGCATGAGGATTCAGCCCTGGTCTCCATTTTCCAACCTCGCCCCACACCAGGCATACCAGCTTGCCCTCTCTCTGCCTTTGACTTTTTGTCAAGCTTACTTCTTGGCCGAGAATGACCCCTCTTCTCTAACCTGCGGGTGGCCGGCTGCCCTGTCATCCAGGTGAAGTTCTCTCAACACAGTCCTGGATCCTCCTTAATCCCCGTCACTCTCTGTTGCATGCTGCTGGCCTCATTTCCCCCAGCACAGCACAAGCAGAAACAGCCTTGTTCATTTCTTTCTGGTTTTGTGACCTGTTGTTTCAAGCAAGCTCCATGAAGGAGCAGGTAAGGTGTCTGAGCAACGTTCACAAGAGCGCTGGCGGCACAGTAGGCCCTGAATATGCATTTGATAAGCAATTGAATACACTGACGTGAACACTGTTCTGGATCAGCGTTCCCTAAAGGCCATTTGATAGAGGTTTGGTCCCCAGCATGTAGTGCTCTGGAGAGATGGCAGGACAATGAAGTAAGGCCTATTGTGAGGTTTCCTAGTCATCGGGACTACAACTTTGAAGGGGTTATTAATATCCCATCCCCTCTCCATCATGTCCCAGCCTCATGGGGAATGGTTTTACCAGACGCTGTTGTCATGGTGTGCTGCTTGCCCAGCAGCTACAGGGCCAATCATTCACAGTCTGAAACCTCCAAAGCCACAAGGCGAAATTAAGCTTTTCTCTTTATAAACTGATTACTTCAGGTATTTGTTACAGTAACAGCAAGCTAACACAGTTCCCGTGAGGTTTCTCCAGAAACCGAAGGTGAATCTCAGTGGCCAGCTGCTCACAGCTGTCAGTAGCGTCTCTGCATTTTGTATGAGTGGCAGGAAGAAAGGTACAGCTATGATTTTAGGAAATCCTATCATAACCCCTGGCTTTGCCTGCACAGATCACGGTGATTTGACTTGAGAGGATGACTTACTTATGGTTTCTTTCATATTCCTCATGCAAGTATTTCCTCTCTCACTGCACAGATCTCTACAGTTTGCATGTTTTATAGAGTCTGCCCGCACCTTACTGTAGGTTCACTGCTTCATTATAGATCATCCAAAAATAGACACTCACATTAATCCTGGGATTAGAACCTGGGAATTCAACCCATTTTGCTCTCAGACTCCAGTTAGACCCACAACCAAATCAAAACAGGATTTCCAGGCAACTGCTCAAAGGTTTCAGAGAAATCACTTGACTACTAACTGGCTACGATGTCTCTCAGTATTTTTATCTGTCCTTCAAGAGAAAGGCAGGCAGTTGATATATGTGTTGGGTTCCAGTGCTTCAGGAAGAAGATGACGTTCCCAAGGAGACATCCCAACATCATGGGTCCACATGTGTGCACCTGCACATACACTGTCCTTACCGACATAGCCTGGGGTCCCACAGGCTGTGGACATCACATCTCCTTTGCCCTCCATTTTTGACAAACCGAAGTCACTGATCATTATTTTGGACTCCTCGTCTTGACTGTAGTACAAGAGGTTTTCAGGCTAGAAAAAACAAAAATGTAAATTTAGAGATTGTAAATCTAACCTGGAGTGGAGACCTAGCACCCCAGATACTTGGGGGAGCATGTCTCTCCAAATAAAAACTAAAACGAGGACTGGGGTGTAGCTTAGTGGTAGGGGGCTTGCTTAACCTGCAAGAGGCCCTGGACTCTATCCCCAGAACCAAAAGCAAACAAACAACTGTGTACATTTAAAGCTGCCTTACTCATGAAATCTCACAACTAAGAAGAACCTTGACCTTAAAACATAGACAATGCCCACATCAATAGATGTCAGTTAAACAATTTGCTCACTAGAAAGGCCACAGAGGGCCCTGCAGAAGCAAATCTTCAATGTTATTCTTTTCCTTTACGAGCATTTTTGCCTCCATAAAAAAGAAAAACCACATTTTGAGGGAACCTAGGAAGCTTATGGCTCTCAGACCCTGCCATTTCAGTTCTTAGCTTGGGGAAGATGAAATTATATTCGCAGGATTTGCAGGTTCTTGTGTGTAGTGGTATTTTGTTTGCAATCTAACAAATAAAGCTTGCCTGAAGATTAGAGTGCAGAGCTAGGCCACTAGCTAGTCATAGAAGCCAGGCAGTGGTGACACACACCTTTAAAACCCAGCACTTGGGAGACAGAGGCAGATGGAGCTCTGTGAGTTCAAGGCCACTCTGGACTACATGAAGTTGAATCTGTCTAAAACAGAAAAGGAGCTCACACAAAGGTGATCCTAGCACTTGGGATCATATGCCTTTAATCCCAGCACTAGGGAGGTGGAGACAGGAGTGATATGGCTGGGTGGAGAGAGGAATATACAGGAGGAGATAGGAGCTCGGATGTAGACTGAGGATTCAGTCTGAGATACAGTCTGAGGTTTCGTAGAGACAGATGCGATCTGAGTTTCATAGAGAGGATTTGTAGAGAGAGGATCACTCCTTTGGTCTAAGCATTGGTGGAGGTAAGAACTCTCTAGCTGATGCCATCTCTCAGAAGGATGGTGTCAGAACAGTGCAGGAACATCCAACCACCAGGACAGCTCTGCAGATTTCCTGAGTGAATAAGTACTTGTGGCTCCTATCTACAGTAAACCCGAAAGGAATGAGAGCAGAAATAAGGATTGGGAACGGAAGCTCTTTTTCCCACCTCATTACCAGACTGGCTACCCTCCGAGCCCAAGAATAAAGCCATATTCCCTCACTAGGCTTCTGGGACATAGCTTGGTTACTACACATTGGAGTTTAGGAATTATTACAGGTAGAGTGATTAAACTTGTTTAGAAACAAGTACACTATCATCACCTGCTCACCTATAAGGGTATCAAAAAGAGGAGCTACATCCTTTGGTAGATCTGAGATGGGGTGGAGTGCATCTATGAGGGCAGGTGTAGGTACACAGGTCTTCCCCCCCCCCCAGCTTCGTGGTGATTTGCAGGGCTGTTTGACCTCTGGCTCCCTGGAGATTCTGCACTAGCACTGGCTTGAGGGTATAGTTTAGGAAGAACTTGGCTCTCTTTTGTTATGGTGATTCCACCTGTAATCAAGATTCTAGCAGTGGGCCAAATACGCTTGCCTCCCCCAGCTGATTCTGCCTGAGGCGCCGGGCACCTGTAATCTCCTTCTACTGCTCCTGATGGGAGGAGGCCATGCCCTTTTGAACCCTCTTGCCCACTGGTATAAATACCCGACTTGAGTTTAATAAAGTGGCCATTTACTCTTTGGTAAGTGAGCAGGTCTCTTTGTGTGTGTCTGTTTAAACCCTCAGGACAATCGTCCATTCTCGTGGACCACGCCTGAATCTGGCCTGGGTATCCACAGAAAAGTGCAGAGGCTTACAGGCAGGGATTCTAGCATGCAGTCTCTGCTGTGACGAAATTGTTAAGAACTATTCATGACTGTCCTTGACTAAACTTTGGCCTCCCAAGTCTCTCTTTCTCTGGTCAGGCCAGCCAAGCACAGTCTCAGCACGAACCAAGTGAACTCTCTTTAGAGGGAATTCCCACCCCTGAAATATGACCCGGTTCTTCCTCTGGTGCTTCTGACGCTGCTAAGAAACAAGTATTCAGATATGTTGAAGGACACTGACTACTCTTCACCCCCACCACGGGGCTTTAGAGGAAGAGGGACCTGATTCAACTCCAGTGCCACCAAGGTTAAGTTGCAATTTCTAGCCAAGGGCAGGCTGGAGGACAGTAGATGGATCATTACCGTAAGGGGAACATTGGCAAGGCCAACGTGACAGGACTGAACTGGGTGACATGATATTGAGGGTGGGTGATAAGAGATTTGGTCAGATACCCAGGGATATTTTGTGCTAAATAAATCCAGGATGATTCTTATGATCAGTTTGGGTCAAAGAGGAGGCTCTTTGTTCATGTATGAGTTCATGGTCTACCTTTAATGAGAGACTTTGAGGTCATTGTATTTCTTTTTATAATTATTGTTTTATCTTTCTTTCTTATTTATTTGTTTGATTGTTTGTTTCAGGGGACAGGGTCTTTCCACTGAATCTGGAGGCTGCCCACTGCCAACTGGGCTCAGCTGCCTGGACAATGAGCTCCAGGAATTCTCTCATCTCTGCCTCCCCAGTGCTGGGAGTATAGGTGTGCATTGCCATCTCTGGTTTCTTCATGAGGGTGCTGGTGACCAAATCCATCTCAGGTCTTGTGAAGCATTTGGAGGACTGAATCATCTCTCTAGCCTTTCTTAGTAATCATGTGCCCTCCTCCCTCCTATCCCTGTCCTACTCTTACTGCCACTCGTTCTTGGTTCAGAGTCAGAGCTGAGCTCAATCTCTCTCCCCTACCGCAGCAGTCTCAAACAAAGGCTTCTTTCTTGCTCTAACAAATGTCAAGACACTTTTTTTTTCTTTAACAGAAACCCAAAGGGAAAAACATTTTCAACCACCTGCAGTAGTGATACAAAGAGTAATTGGAGTCTGGAGTCACCAGGACAAGTTTGTGAAGAGGGAGATTTGAAGGAATCTAAGGGTGCCGAAGGGTGCTTTGAAATGGAAATGAAAAGGGCCAATCTGAAGTTGAGGCAGTTGAAAGGCTTGGGAGGTGAAGGAGGGGAGGTTCCTCTTATTGCAAAATGTATGTGGTTTAAGAATTATCCACTGATGAACAGCAAGACTGTCACAGATGCCAAGAGAGGGGCTCTGCCTCACCACCACTGGGTTTTAATCTTCCTTGCCCCAGGATTTCCACAGCTGGAGAGATAACATGAGACTCATGCTACGCAAGTTCAACTCAGGCAAAAGATTAGCGAGCATCCACCCTAACACACCCACTTCCCTCACGGGTGGTTCATCTGGCCAGTAACATGCTTTCTTGAACAATTATCTCCAAAGAGGGTTAAAGTAACTAGATAGTCATTGTTTTGATCAATACTTTGAGTTTCCTCAAGATTTGGGGATGGCTGCAAGGCTTTCCTTGCAGGTGGAGTAGAGAGGCAGAGAGCTGAGGTGGCCAAGGGATCACCTAAGAGATGATCTGACCGGAAGGTATGAAGGCCATGAAGAGAATCTCACCACATCACAACACGGTTCCTCCTGCCAGAAGGGGACCCGTTGGAGGGCCTGGTCTCACCTGAAAAATTATTTGGCTGCCCATTATGGCATTTCTCTAAGGCAACCGTGGGCTAAAACTCAGATTAGACTATTAAGCTCCTTTCTGGGTAATACTTTATATAATAATCCTTAAAAATGATCTCATTCAACACATTTCTGGGAAAGTTACTGCTGCATGTAACAACACTATGAATCTAGTTTTTCCCAACAAGGGAGCAGTTGGGTCCCTCAGTGGAGAAAATTCAGCAAAGCCTAGAGACACTTTTGGTTTCTATGGCTCCAGGAAGGGTGCTGGAAATTGAGAGGCTAGAATTCAGGGAAACTGCTAAACCTCCTGCAGGGTCCAGGGCTGCTGCCCACACACAGTCCTCCATCTCTAAATATCAATAGGGCAAAGCTAAGGAACCATCCATGCTTGATGTGGGAGCGGGAGCCACTTCCTTTCTCACTCCCTGTACTTGAACGAAACGGAACTCTGGGTTATCTCTAATAGTTTCCTAGGGCCCACCGGACATGAAAACGCCTGTTTGGAAGGAGACGCGGGCATGCTTGCTCATGGGTTAGGGTTCATTAGCACAATCAGGCTGTCTGTTGCTATAGCTCAGATTGAGTAGCTTCCATGTTCTTAGGAGTTGATGAAAATTTAACACCACATGGAGGAAACTCTATGGAGCTCCAGGAAAAGTGATGATATAAAAAATCCTCACACAGCCACTGCGTTCTGCCCGAAGGTCAAAACCGTCTTCCCCTCCTGTTAGATAGGCATGGGTTGTACTTTCAGAAGGCCTGGTATTTAATAGCCATGGGTTGTACTTCCAGAAGGCCTGGTGTTCTCGAAGTTCCCCAGGCTGAGAGCTGCAAGCCCTAGTCAGCAGTTTTAGGTAGAAGTGAAAAATGGTCTCCTGTCTTACTTTATAAGGGGGATAGGAACACTGTTCTTCCTGGATATGTCCTAATTGTTTCTAACTTATTTTCCTAGGAAGCACCGATGGCCCTGTATACCACATGTCTGAAGTCGCAACACTAACTTGCTTAGCAACAACTAGATAGCAACATTGTTGTGTTCAAAGCACTGACTTGTGGCAGGGGTGCAGAAGAGCAGGGAAGGGGTGCTGCCTGGCATGGAGGGGGCACTGGGCTGGCTGGCCTAGCGTCTTTCTTACTCTGCAGAGCCTCGGGGCTCCGAATATGGGCTTATTACACTCACAGCCCATTTGTTGGCAAGAGGATAGCAAAGGCTAGCAGGGCTGGTTGGCATTCCTCTCTCTAGTGGTTCCCCAAGAGGCATCCCCAGACTGGCATCACTGTCACCTGGGTGGCATCTTCACTCACTAGAAAGGCAAAGTCCTGGTTCTTCTGTGGCCTCACCTGATCAGGGGCCCTTTTGGCAGAGCCAGAACACAGAGATCTTACTGACCTCCCCACACCTCCCCGACACTGATTTGTGTTAACAGTGTTGCATCTCTAAAAGGTGATCTCTAGAAGGTCTCAAGATGGACTACAGAAAGAGGAAAAATGGAAATAGAAAAATGATGAGAGAAAATGAAATGTAGAAAGTAAAAGAGAAAACTTCAGAGTGCATTTTTTATTTTTAATTTTTTAAAAAGAGGTACTGCCTAGAATTGATGTGCCATGCTTTGCTGACGCCCATGGGAAGCCTGAATGGAGATGGAGGAGTAGATAGGGATGAAGTAGATGGGAGGCAGTGGGGGTGGGGAGCGAACAGAGGAGAGGAAGGAGAGGAAACTGAGGTCGGTATGTAAAACAAACAAACAAACAAAAAACAATTTAAAAAAATGTGGTGTTGGGCACAGAGCCTAGGGCATGCACATGCTGGCGAGTGCTCAGCCACCAAGCCACGCCCCCAACCCAAAGGGTAGTTTTCATGAAGGAAAAGCTGTACCATTCTACTCCATGATGCCCAGGAGCAGATGACGGACAGACGCTCAACTTCTGTCTAGCAAATGTGTATAGCTGACTCTAGATGACTTCCTGCTAAGGGCAGCAAGCTTGCAATGCAAGGAGTCCTTGCATTTCTATATTGAGTGGTGCACGTATGTGCTAGCGGGTAGACATCTGTCTCACGCACACAGGAGGGTGTGGAGGCTAGACCTATAACACTGCAGCATGACGTTACATTGTAACATGGGCGCAACAGCGCTGCTTTAGCTGACTTCCCAGTCCTTGCGTGTGACAGCTACCAAATTCTGGGTGAGGGGAAGGGAGTGGGACACTAAGGTGGCACTGTGATGCCTAAACCCTTCAGTGCTAAAGATAAAGGATGCCCACACCTCATAAAGAAAAGACAAGGACTTACAGTCTCATCACCTAGGAAGCTAAAGCCAGAGAATTTGGAGTTCTGAAGCCAGTGTAGTCCATATAGAGAAATTCTATCTAAAAAAGAAACTGGAGAAAATCAACAGGAAGAAAGGGAAGGAGGGAAAACAAGGAAATGGAGAGATGGTGTGTGGAGGGGAAGAGAGGAGGGAATGGAAGATGATGGGAGGAGGGGAGAGGAGAAGAGAGGAGAGAATGTACTGAATGCTCTTTCAGAAGTTCTTGTATTAATACATGACCACCTCTCTATGGCCCTGGGGGTGCCTATTGGCTACAGAATCTCATAAACTGTGGTCAGCTGCATTGATCTTCTACTTCTGGGCCTCAATGCACCGACACCTAAAAAGTACATGCCGCCCACTCCCCCGTCTCCTCTCAAAGCATCTTTATGCCTTCACCGTAGCAGGTCCTCTCCAGCAGGTGCTTTCTGGGGTGTGGAATAGTTGGTATTGCTGAGCAATGCCTCACCTTGAGGTCCCTGTGAACAATGCCCATTCTGTGGAGATAGTATACAGCATCCAGGACCTGGCGGATGAGAGTACTGGCATCTTTTTCTGTGTAAAATCCCTTCTCCACTATCCGATCAAAGAGTTCTCCACCGGACACGCTGTGAAACAAATAAATGAGACATTAGGAACACAGAGGGCTGCTGGATGGTGCAGACAAAATAAATCATCGCTGAGAGTTCTCAACAGGACAAAAAAAAACCACTTCATTTCTAAAGGCAAATTTAAAACATGAGTCCAATTCTGAGTTTAGAGTTTGCCCAACCTTTTCTCCAGAAGCAATCCCTAGAAAGGGTCCCTATGTCACAGCAGCAAAAATGCACAGAATAAAAGGAAAATAGAAAAACAAAAACAAACTCCCCAAGACTTGGGGTGTAGCCATTCCTAAGAAGTCATTCCCGACTGTCACCTCTATTCTCTGTTCTGCTGAGACAATACAAAGTCAAAATGGCCCCTGATTAAGGGTATTGGGGTGGGGTCTTACATGACAAGGCAGTATTGGGGGCAACACAGTGGCCTCCCAGCAGGGGTCTGGGCTCTTGATTAATGTTAGTCCCTAAGACACTGAGTACGTGGGTGCCTTTTAGATCTTTGGACCTTTCTACCTATTTAAATGGATAGATGAATCTAGTCAACTCTTTTCAACAAGGAGTAGGTGCACACCCTTGAAAGTTATCAGACTCTCAAAGCCACTGGAGAGTTACAGAAAAGAAAGAGGGTGGGGAAAGGCACGATGCTAGGCGGTGATGAATACCTGCAAGTCCAAGACTTGAGATTCAGAGGTGGGAAGGCAGCAAGTTTGGGGCTAGCCTGGGCTACATGGTGAGACTCTGACTCAAAATAATGAAAAGAAGGGCACTGTATCACAGAGCACTGATATGTGCTGGTGACAACATTTCATTAGAATTTACTTTCAGTTTTAGATTTCATTTGATGGGTTTTGTGTTTTTAAGATACATCAAAATATAAACTTATGGTGGATACAGTTAAGGGCAGGTAGATAAGTTGGTTCTGACCCTGTCACATCTCTATGCCACTGTACCCCTGATAAAGAAACAAAACAGCAGCCCAGAGCAGAACCAACCACTTTCAAATTTGAGAATGTATGTGTATCACTAAAAGAACAGTGCTTTATCTAAATAAATAGGGCATGGTAGAAAGAAACTCAAGGGACGTACTATTAAAAACCTCCAAATTTTAAAACCATATAAAACACATATTTATTAGAAATATTAAAATCATAAACCGGCTTTTAAAACAACGCCTTCCTTTCCAGTTTTAATACAATAAAAGACAGATGTTAGCAATGTGCGCAGAGGCACAAAGACACAGTTCACTTTCTGCAAATCATGGCAATTAACGTAGAATAATGGGTCCACTGAAACCGTCTCTGTAAAAAGCTAATAACGAAAATACAAACAACTGCAGCTATAAAGTCCCATGTTTTTGGGTTTCCTTCCATTACCTGTAGCCGTTCTGAACAATAATGTACTTGGAGGATGTTTCACTTGCAAAGCAAACTGATGATCTAGATGGGAGAGGCGCTCGGGAGAAGTAAAAAGCAACCCAAAGAGTAAAAAGAACTGGAAGCAGCCGGGTGGTGGTGACTCTCGCCTTTAATCCCAGCACTCAGGAGGCAGAGGCAGGCGGATCTCGGTAAATTCAAGGCCAGCCTGGTCTACTAGAGCTAGTTCTAGGACAGGCTCCAAGCTACAGAGAAACCCTGCTTTGAAAAAAAAAACCAAAAACCAACCAAACAAACAAACAAAAAAGAACCGGAAGCAGCCCAGATGGCAGCATTTTCTGACGACTATGTCATCTAACAGTCTACCCTCCAGAGAGCCAAGCTCCCTAGGCACCCTGGCCTGGCAAGTGATGCCAAATTCTTTCTACAGTCTTTGCTTTTCTACAACCCCAGTGGATTTCAGTATCTGGCCCTCTGCAGAACCAGAGGAAGTACTACCATAGGAAGATGGATGCCGTGAGGGCAAGGTGAGCATGGATGCCCGGAAGGCAATCACCTCATTACTTCTTCAACACTCATTCAGCTTTTCCTGGGTGCCCATGACTCATCAGCATGAATCTACGTACTTGGAGATAGCTACGTAGCATCAGTTACAAAGGGGTAAGACAGATCTCTCATCTGTTAACATTGCTCTACCTTCCAATGATGCCCTCCCATCACTGGCCAGCCTGTCCCCACTTTTTCTCTTCTTCAGCTGCTGGAGGTCGGGAAATAATCCTTACCTCTCCCACCATCTCACCTCCTGACTGAGCATTCCACAACCCAACCCTGCCCGTTCCACTGCCTCCCTTGAACCTCATCTGCCCAGCTTACTGCTCTAGGAAGGTCTTTTTCTCCAATGGGATATTTAAGGTCTTGGTGGGGTCTATAAAATGTGAATCTGTGCATGGCCACGGGGCAGCGGTGCAGTGGAAGCTGAAGAATCAGTATCAGCGGGCGGATGGTGTGTGCTGTCACAGGCCTTTCTATCTGCACTTAAGATTCTTTTTCTTAAACTTCAGAATGAATACTTATGAATATCGCTTTGGAAGAATTTGGTTTCCTTAGAAACCAGGGCTCTGGGGAAATGTTTAGAAACTTGACAGAAAAAAGTAACAATATTAATTTTAAAAGAAGTCTTAAATTTGAAAATCACTTTATACTTAAAAAAAAATCTCACAAGGCACGTATTTTCAAAACCCACTGTAAAGACCTGAATGGCTCCCAATGCCTTCTTGGACACTGTAAGTCTCAAAGTGAGACTATTTGGGGGCAGACCTTCAGGACATCCTGAGGTTGAGGTAAAGTCATAAATGATGATTCCTCCATGATGGAATTAGATCCTTATAAAGAGGTCTCTGTCCCATCTACCACGGAAGACCCCACAAGCAAGGAAGAGCGCTCCCAGCAGAATTAGCCTATGCCACCACCCCCTCCTCCAGGGCTGTGAAAAAATACCCTTCCCTTCTCTGAGTAGGACACCTGCCTATTCTTGAAAGTACATGTGAAGCAGATATGTCAGGTTATATTGTTTCAGAATCAACAGAGGAAAGAGCTTCCTCATGGTGAGACATGAGTCACATGGCTGGCTGACCTGTGTGGGCTGTTTGGAGAGGCCCCCTTCTTGACAACTGTCATCTATGGGAAGCCTCTGCACAAAAACTCCATGTTAAAAATCAAACTCTCCAATCAAAGCAGGCAAAGCATCAGGATGGGGATGAAATATCAGGGGGTTTGGGAAAGGGGGGAGAACTATAAGAATGGATTATGTGATACAAGGAATTAGTGGAAGCTGTCTCTGTCTTCTATTGTTATCAATCAATGTAGGTTAAGTGAGTTACAAAGATGAGCTTTATCTTAACCTTGGTTCTGATCAGGCTAAGAGATTATTGCTGGCCATGGGCTTCCTGCTGGCAGAGTCTGGAGGTGTGCAGGGTGATGAATGGACACAGCAAACCCAGCCAAAGCAGCTTTTATACTGAATCCACTTGAAAGAATCCACTAGCCATTAATTCCTTCATTACAGAAATAGACTCATCCATGCATGCATGAGAATAGAGCTCTAATCACTTCTCTCTCTCTCTCTCTCTCTCTCTCTCTCTCTCTCTCTCTCTCTGTGTGTGTGTGTGTGTGTGTGTGTGTGTGTGTGTGCTGGATTCCAGACTTGATGAGAAGCATGAGTTTATACTGAACTTTGGCCTGTTCAGTAGCTCACCCTCCTTGCCTATTTCAGCCCACAGTTGCCTAACAGATGCCAACTTTAAATATGCAAATGTGAATTACTTTGATGTCACAATCTCAGTAAAAATTCAGTTTATTTGGAAAACTCTTAAACCATGTAAATACCTATAAGTGGAAAAACAATTGTCAAGAGACATTTCAGAGATGTTATACTGAGAAAACATTAAGCTTGGATTGCCCTGTTGTAGACTACTGTGCAGTGTAACTTCTTCAAGGCACCAAGAATCATGGTGTAAATGCTATTGTTTTATGAACTTGAACTTACCCATCTCTCTCTCTCTCTCTCTCTCTCTCTCTCTCTCTCTCTCTCTCTCTCTCTCTCTCCCCTTCCCCCTCCCCTCTCTCTCTGCTGGGGGGGATGTAGAGGACCATGTGTGTATGTGTAGAGGCCAGAGGTCAATGTTGAGTATCTCAATTGTTTTCCACCTTACCTTTTGAGATAGGGTCTCTTACTGAACCTGGTGCTCACTGATTTGCTTAGAATAGCTGGTCAGTGAAACCCTGGGATCCATCTTACTCGCCCAGTTCTGGGTGCTGGTGGTCCAACATGGATCCTAATGCCTGCATAACAAGTACATTGCCTGTTGACTGTCTCCTTAGCCCCTACCACCTGATTTTCAAAGACAATGTTTTGTTACCTTAAAATTTGATGCTTGTTACTATGTAAAATTGTATGTAAAACGGTTACAGTGTGAATATGAAATGCTAGCCACAGGTTAAATACATTTGAATACTTGGTCCCTAGCTGGTGGTACTGCTTAGGAGCCTCCTTGGAGGAAACAGTTTACTCTGGGTGAGGGATGAGGGCTTTGGTCTATTTCCTGTGCAGTCTTTCCTCCGACTGTGGATCCAAGCTCCACTGCCATGCCTTCTCTGCTGTGATGGGCTGTATCCCCTTAAACTATAAGCCAAAGCACTCTTCTCCTAAGTTGTTGGTTGTCAGGTATTTGCTATCAGTAATGAGAAAAGTAACTAATAGACCTAACAACACCACTCACACAATCACTGAATGAAGTGCCCATAGTGATGGCTGGGGATGTGTCCCACTCACCAATCTATCATAGAATACTTACTACTTAGATGAGATAGATGTACAGAGAGATGACTAAAGAGTTCTGTGCTTTTGTACTGGACAGGTACAAGAATCTGTCATAAGAAGTTGCATAAAGCTGTCCTATAGTGGGGTAGCAACAGCACAGAAGGAAGACTATTGAAACAGTACAAGAGCAATGTGGTCTTCATGGACCCCTTCCATCCAGCCAGGCTGTGTCTCAGAAACATGTGTTTTCTGAGAACCAAGGCTCTCTTTACATTTAGTCTTGGGGAAAGGTCTTCCTGGACCATACAGGTTGTGAT